TTTTTTTCATATTTTCAAAGTTTAGTTATTCAAAAATATGTCATCAAAAGGATTTTACAAAATTACTATTATTTCCTGAGTTATCGCCGTTTTAGTGACGTCGCCTCGGTTCGGGTACGACTTGTCTCAAAACTTTGAACGCGTTTTTCTCGGAACTACTTTTTTCGAGCTGGCGGTAAGGATATCTCGAGTTCTAATGAACCGATTTACTTCAAATTTGGAGAGGATCTTCTCTATACGTTGCTTTATCGCATGGACCTCTCCAAAAACTATAACTTTTCATTTAGTATTTTTAAAAAATTCGGAATTGTTAAAAAAACATGAAAAAAAATTTTTTTTTCAAACTGCCGCCATTCAAACAAAAAATTTTTTTTTGACTTATCCAAGGTTCATACGATAGCGACATCTATAATAATAAGAATCCATCTTTTTTTTATGTTTCGGATCACCAGGAGGGTTGGAATCATGCACGCCAGGACACCCTCTTTTTTTTTTGGAGCTTCCACTTTGACTGCTCATAACTTTGTGAATTCTAATTTTTTTTCTTTAATAATTTTTTTTATGTAATAATAAAATATCAATAAACAAATGTAATAATAAAATATCAATAAACAAATGATAAAAAATCGATAGTAAAAATATTATTTGTTTCCTTTATACAGCGCTTCAAAACCGGGTAAAATTCATGCTTCTACAGTAGAATACCCCCTTAAACTCCAACGTACTGATAGATTATTATTAATTTCTATACTAGCGGAGTATAGTATTACAGCTATAAAGGAGTATACTAAACGGGTAACTTATAACGGATACCGACGGAGGGAATAGCCTTATAAAACAATATTACATCTGACCTTTGCTGGAACGTCCAGCGCCTGGCGCGTGGACCCACTGACCTCCTCAGAGGATGATACAATTCTTAATGCTTCATTTCAACCCCAGACTGGACCTTATATTGCAGGCACCCTAGTAGACGTAGGTGGGGGAGCCCCATTGCACTGGTGGTTATGCAACCCTTTTGACGACAATACCAATTGTCGTTACACGCCCCCCTGTCACACTAGAGCCGGCCTCGGCTCTTAAATCCAAAGATGAAATTATTGCCATCTCCTGGGTTTCCGGGTTGTTCCGGTGTTCTTCCTAGGGTCCTGTTTTGCCCTTTGGTCCTCGTCTTTGGGTTGGCTAGTTTAACTGGGTTGGCTTTGCTCAAGTGTGAGCCTTGGCTGCTAGACGACGATTGTAGTTGTGGTTGTGTGCTGGTCATCCTTTAGGCGTTGTGGTTTCGGTCAGACATTCCTAGAATCCTGGTAAGCTATTCCCCCTTTGTTTACAAACTCAAAACACGTAGCAGCTAGTAAACATAAACTTATATATAAACAGGTCTGATAAAAAAATACATCAACATCATTAATACAAAAAAACAAAAACAAAGTCCTTCGGTAACACAAAAATTACAATACAAAAATAAGTCCGTTTGCTTAAAACTATCTTACCCTATTTCGTTCTCAAAGGAACCGTGTTAGGGAAAACGGTACTCAGCAAATTCAAAAAAAAGACTAGATTTAGAAAAAAAGTAGTTATATAACACAGACTAACAAAAGACAAAAACTTAATAAAAAAATATTCGAAGTACAATCGTTTTTCGTACAATTTTCGTAACACGTTTCCTTGAAACGCAATCTTATCCTATGTGTGTGTGCTGTCACCTATTTTCTTTCCACTTTCCACTGGGTTGGCTTTGCTCAAGTGTGAGCCTTGGCTGCTAGACGACGATTGTAGTTGTGGTTGTGTGCTGGCCATCCTTTAGGCGTTGTGGTTTCGGTCAGACATTCCTAGAATCCTGGTAAGCTATTCCCCCTTTGTTTACAAACTCAAAACACGTAGCAGCTAGTAAACATAAACTTATATATAAACAGGTCTGATAAAAAATACATCAACATCATTAATACAAAAAAACAAAAACAAAGTCCTTCGGTAACACAAAAATACAATACAAAAATAAGTCCGTTTGCTTAAAACTATCTTACCCTATTTCGTTCTCAAAGGAACCGTGTTAGGGAAAACGGTACTCAGCAAATTCAAAAAAAAAGACTAGATTTAGAAAAAAAAGTAGTTATATAACACAGACTAACAAAAGACAAAAACTTAATAAAAAAAATATTCGAAGTACAATCGTTTTTCGTACAATTTTTCGTAACACGTTTCCTTGAAACGCAATCTTATCCTATGTGTGTGTGCTGTCACCTATTTTCTTGGTTGTAGTATTAGAATTAATGGAATAACCGTAGCCCGAATTATAAATCAGTTCGCCAGAAACCATGAGCCCGATGATATGGACAATCTTTTACTGCGTAACGCGCGGAAAAACTTTGAGAGAAAAAAACGAAACTAATATGACAATGAACAAGAAACAAAAATACACATCAATTTACAAAATTCAATTATTTAAATAACTAGTTTACTTTTACGGACGCGACGTTTACCGTAATTCAGCCTCTACTGGTGTGATTGCCCCCCAAATACAAGACCACAGATGGGGGCTAGGATCTAGTTTTCCTTCTTGCTCCCCCCGCAGAGCCCCATACCAAATAATATCTCTAGACCGACCGTCTATGCCCACCCAAAAACAAATGGCACTTATACTTAACACCTATGTAAGCGGGACACCTGGGGTTCCTCAGCCCGGCACAAAAGTACCCCAAATTGCCCCCTTGACGGGAGATGGCGTTCTGCTGAAGGTACCTTCCCAAAAATATTCCAACATAATACATCATAATTCACATAATAATTCGACGGCTGCGGGGTTGATTAAGGGCGGTTTCCCCGATTGAAACCGTACGCGTCCATCGATTCGGACATCTCAATGGTCCTCGCTCGTGGACTACTGGGCCCAGCTTTCAACTCATATATATAACCATAAAACAAAAGCGTAAATCCGATATGGCGTCCCGATATAAGCCTGCAGACTTATATTTATACTATCTATATGTCGACTAACTTATTCTCCACAAACCAAAATCCCAATATAACTTCTTAAATGTCTTCTTAAACTCTAACACTTAATTTTACGACTTATCTAAGGGGGGGGGGCGTAAGTCTTAAAACTAAACCTATTACTATAATTATGTTTAATTATTTACATATGTACACCTATATATATACACAAATCCAAGATTCTACCATTTTATATATATAAGTACCTATATATATTTAAAAAAAAAAGCGAAGAGAAAAGTGAAAGAAATATTTTATTCTTTCTTTCTTCTTTTATTCTACTAACGTGGATCGTGTCGTATTTGTACCAATTTCTAGCTTTATGCTCAATCTTATAATTAAGGTCCGATAATTTATCAACTATTTTATAAGGCCCGTGCCATGGATGTTGTAGTTAGTCTGATTGGCCTTATCTACGAATTTCTGTGTTCCCTAACACCCACTGGCCTACGACAAATTCGGCGTTCTTGTTGAGCTCTCGCGATATTTTGTAGTAGTCTAACTAGTTTACCGCGAGTGCCCTATCGCATACCTCGGCCCTCCACGACTTGTCGCTACGTCGCTCGGCAGCCGGGCTGTCTACGGGCTATTCTTATAAAAAAAAGGAAAAGAAAAAGAAAAAAAGTTAAAATAAATAATTAAAAGAGGTGGTTAAGGGTACGACACGATCCATTAATTTATAAATCTATTTATATAAGTATAATTAACCTTGATTCCAAATATCAACTTTACCCTATCTGAAAATACCCATTCTTGCTTCACTCGATTATTACTTTCTTTCTTCATTATTTTCATTTGCCATATCGGATTCCTTAATCTGGATTGGGCGGTCAAAAAACACGAGCCAATAACTATTGACGAGACAGAATTAAAGTATTTTCAATAAAAATAAAATCGTAATTTGTTCATATAAAAGGGCGTCATGCAAATTAATCAAAACGCCGACGGTATAAACTAACGCGGTAATACGCTACCAACGTTCGTTTGGTTTGATTTACGGTGATATTATCAATAAACAAAAAAAAGCACGACGAAAATAATAGTTTACATCTAATCTTAATCTTTATCATACTTTACAGATATAAAACTATTATATATATATATATATATATATATATATATATATATATATATATATATATATATATATATATGTACATATATTAATTAATTCATACATTTTTAATTTAATTAATTAATTTCTATAAGCAGTTATATGTAACCTTTTAACTAATTTTGTGAATACTAATTACTCATTGGTATGAGCAACCATGTGCTTTTTCAGGCTACTTGATTGTTTGAATACCTTATCGCAGATTTTGCATTTGAAATCAGTGTGAATGAGCATATGTCCTTTCAAGGTACTCGATTGTGTGAATGTCTTATCACAAATTTGGCAAACATGGGGACGTTTACCTGTGTGAATGACCATATGTCTGTTCAAGGAACTCGATTGTGTGAATTTCTTGTCACAAATTTGGCAAACATGAGAACGTTTGCCAGTGTGAATGAGCATATGTCTATTCAAGGAACTCGATTGTGTGAATTTCTTGTCACAAATTTGACAAACATGGGGACGTTTGCCAGTGTGAATGAGCATATGTTGATTCAAGTTACTCGATTGTGTGAATTTCTTGTCACAAATTTGGCAAACATGCAGACGTTTACCTGGCCCCTTTGCAGTATGAGAGCGAATATTTCGTTTTTGATTACCAGATTCATTCAAATGTGAAATTTGTTCTCTTGCAGGAGCACAAATGTGTTGATCTAAATGATATTGTTCAGTAAATGCTTTATCACACTTTGTGCATGTGAAATGTTTTTCACCTGTATGAGATTCTATGTGTATTTCTAATGCAGATGCATCTGGCAAAGTCTCTGAACAATATGTATACTTATGACAATAATTCACCATATGCTGTTCCAAATAAAGCAACTTTCTAAATGTCTATTACACTTGTCACATTTATAAGGAGCAGTCTGAATTAATTCCTGTTTGACTTCTTCTATTTTTACTATAGAGTCCATAAATCTATTTAGACATGTTTTGTCATCCTCTGAACACAATTTATAATCTTCTTCAATTTCCCGTTTAATGTCTTCGATTGGATATTCTTGCGGTTCAATTTTAATTATCGGATCATTAGCAGCTTCAGACATTTTGAGATATTTGTGCACCGAGTATGTTCTATAAGCATTAACAAAAATAGTTGGTTAGTTTAAATGAACTATTGTTAAATATGATATTTAATTTCACTAGAAATATAAATTAAAACATTAGCTGTTGACAGTTGGAGCATGGAGTATAACTTTAGAGAGTGCATTATTGCGTTTATGCTCTCGTAACATTTTACAGGAATGAATGTTTAAATTAATAATCATTCTAAACTGTCAACACAAATGGTTCTGAGAATATAATATATTCATATTATGGTTTTGTCTATGAATATAATCTTACGTTAATTTAACAAAGGTGTATTTTGAATGATGTATGTCGCCAAGATAATTCCTTTTTTAAAATACTTTATATTTGACGGACAGTAATTATGAATCAGCTATTGTTCAAAGCTTTTGCCTTATTGCAGAGCTGAAATGTAAAAGATGAAATTGAGCAATAATTTTGACTTATTTTAAGTTAAATATTTATAGTTCTTTCTAAATCAAATAAATATAACTAAAAGTTAAACACGTGAAAAACCTCAAAGTATTTTACAATACCTTTATGTTTATCAATCAATCACAAACACGTCTTTATAATATACAATGTTATATTTAAACTCAAATTTATATTTAATATACTTATCATAATAAGCTAAATACAAAATGTTCTTTCGGTACATTAATTTGTTTGACAGTTGAACGAAGTTCTTTCGTAACTTTGCCTCGCTCTAATGTCACTATTGCCAACCGTAAGAGCATAGATAAATAAAAATAAATAGATCGCTATCTCATGCCATTTGGCGTTACCTCCATTTTAATTTATACAGCGATACGAAGAAGGCAGCACTTGTACATTATATAACATAGATAAATACGATAAATAAGCATATATATAAGTATAAGGTATATAACTTGTTTACTTATCTATGGTATATAAATTAATCGCTGGCATTATTCCTAGATATGGTTCGTATACGTAATACATAAACAATAGGCCCGCCATAACATATTTATCCTCTCGACTAAAAATTTGCCCTCTATACCTTCAACGCCTTGTAACATAGGCCATAAACTCTATCCGTAAACCAAACCAAACCTTTCGCGACGCACGGATAAAAAAAACGACACAACGATATATACAAATATAAAACAAAACATTATTCGAATATATTAAAGTGGCGAACAAAACGGATAATGCAATAATGATAAATAAGATAAGAACAGTAAGAGTGACGAAGTTACGCGTATGATAGAAAAACTAAGTGTTATGAAGTAATAAAACATTAAATTTAATAAGAATTGGACAAATATGAAGAAGAAAAAAACTACTAGTTCGAAAATAAAAACAGCGAAAAAAAATGTATCTGGCCGTTCTAGCTGTATGACGCACACAACTAGAGCGTTTATCCAACCGTCGGGTACAGGTCCGTACTTGGCAAGACCGAGTGAAACCCTTACCAGTGTCCCTGCGCCCGCAGAGATATGACTTCTTAAGAGATAAGACACTTTGTGCCTGCAATCTGCTCTAATTAACGAAGGTTGGCTAGTCCTTTCGTTACCGTGCCGCATACGATGTATAACTAGACTGGTCGCGATAGCCGTTGTAATCGTTATGCAAAGAAATCATATATCTATAATATCCCAATCCTACTATTAGTAATAGGATCAGTCGGATAAAGCCGCGAATTGAGCACCAGCCGATGCTGACCCGGCAGAACTGAGGCCAACATTTGTACGCGTAATAATAAAAAAAAGAAAGAAAATAGTTAAAAAGAAAAACATTATCAATAATCAAATTATTAAAACAAATAATCATAATCAAAATTATTAAAACTAATTCATTATTGCATCATCTTACAAAAAAACACGAAAATACACGAAAATATTAAACGTTAAAATATTAAGTAAGAAAAAAAAACTATACTAATACTACCAACCAATTACATTATACAAATTTATTACAGAACCCTCCAGCTGGTCAGATAAAATTAGCATGTCTATGATGTAATTCGTTTAACTAATAAAGAATAATAATCATAATAAAGTAGACAGATCCAATGCGGCACTGTTTGCCTGGCATATACATTTTTTTTATAAACTCTGCTTTTAAACTCTAATTGCGTTCTATACGCGATTTTTTTTTGTCGCATACGCGGCCTTTGCGACCCTTGTTACTGCGCGTTTCCTCAAAAATTCACTTCATTTTCAAATCATAGACATGCTAACTACTATTCCCTCCGCGAACGCCTTAATAAAACATAAATAAAACAATAGTGTTTAGACAAAATACTTTAATCTAAAAAGTATTTGCTAAAAAAATCTTTTGCATTTGCATTTTTTGCAGATTTTGTTTTTTTTTTCATTTAAAAGAAACAAGACTGACGTAAATATATTATTTCGATTATAAAAGCGAAATTTACTGACAAATTTACAGACAAATCAGAATTTATAAACATTAACATAGTTCTATCAGAATCCAAGCTAACGTATATACTAATAACCTAATACAAAGTATATAATAAAAAAGAAAGAAGTGTATCAGTCTTACACTATATATTTACTAACATATTAAAAGTTATATATTATCCTAACTATCCTATCTCTATCATGTTTTAATCTAAGTAATTCTGTCTCATTCGCAAATCCTTTCGAAAAAATTATGTAATTACAGGGCTCATCAAACTTCACGAACGAGATTAACAACACACAAACAAAGCAATAAAAAAAATTAAAAAAATAAAACGAATCAATACCATTTGCGATTATCTGTATTCTTATTAATTACAATCATAGTGTAAAACAATTATTGAAATGAAAAAAAAAATGTTTCAAATTATGCGAAATTTAAGACGAATATGGAATTTTACAAGTACCGGATAATTTTATACTCGTTATTCGAGAATAAAATAAAAAAAACTTTATTTCTTAAAATTACAATAAAATATATAAAATAACTGAATTTTACAATATAATTATATAACTGAACTGGTGTAAGTACTGGCAAAGATTATCCTCATCGAATGTAGAGATCTTTCTACTTATATAGTTAAAAATATGCTTTATCAGCAAGGAGGATCTTGTGGCTAGATATAAGCTATGTCAGCGGGATGGATCCCGTAACTCCTCCGGCCCTAGATGAAAAACCTCGGGGTGCAGGTTGGTGGTTGGTTGTGGCCTTCTTGTTCTTGGGGTGTCTCTACTTCTGGAGTGACTTATAATTTCTTCTTTTTGGTTCTGTTTCTGTAACACTTGAGCAAAACATAAATAATAATAATTATTAAGGTTGTTGAATATATAGTGACTGATATAATATTGCTGTTCTTTATTCCTGTATTTCTTGCGTAGATTTTGTTAATTTGGTTTTGCTCTTGTTGAATTCTGTATAATTCATTCACTTGGATTGATTTGATTTCTATTGGTTCTGATAGTTTTGTATTTGTATAATTTAAATCAATTCTTGGTAAAATTATTGCTTTTCCTTCTATAGACGACTCTTGATTGTAATAGTTTTTCTTGTCAATGCTGAATTTACATAAGTGTGGGAGTTTTAAAAGAAAAATTCCTTTAATAAACTTAGTTTCTTCTTGATGATTGCAAATCATATCGATTCTTGATTGTGTGCTTAGTAAAAGAATATAGTGTGCGTTATTTATTTTCTCTATAATATTGTGTGTAATGTTGACTTGAATTTCATTGCATGTTTTGATGTGAGTGTTATCTAGTTGTAATAATTTTATGATACATTCTTCGTCGTTTGATAATATGTGTCTAATATTGCAAAAATATTTTTCTGAAACTTCTTTGCAATTTGTATCGTCAAATTGATAGTTATTGTTGCCAAATGTAAGGAAAGGTTTTGGTGGAATAATGACTCTATTTTCTGTATTTGGAATTGGGTATAATTTATAGTGTTTAAATGTTTCAGGTAAAGTGATTGGAAATTTGATAAGAAAAACAATTTTTTCGTCTGTGTAATAATATTGAATATTAAGTAAATTATAATATTTGTGAAGATTACTATCGTCTATGGGAAATGGTAATAATTCTACATTGTATAAATTCTTTACAGTATTAATCATAAAATTCAAATCATCTAATTTAATTACTGAGTTATGAACTAAATTCATCTTAGCTAAATCTAATGATATTTCTAAATCGTTTAAAATATTTGCTAAAATAACTAAACTATAATTAATTTGTTCTAAACTATCTTTAGCTATAAAATATTCATTATGGCTAAAACTGCCATATTTCAAGTAATCGTTAATATCGTTCAATTTCTTATTTAGTATGTGATCATTTTCTCATTCATGTTAATTAATGTTTTGTTAAAATATTTAATTAATTTGTTATTTAAAGTCATTTGCTTATTCAAAGTTTTTGCATAATTTTCATCATTAATTTCTAAAATGCGTATTGCTTCTTCATACCTTTTGGCGTCTTGTGAGTCTAAATTTCCAGTAATTTCTTTAATAATGGTACCTAATCCGTTAACCCCTTCGCTTACAAAGACGCCTCAGAGGCGTCGCAAGGTTATCGGCCCAAACACAAATATGACGCCTCAGAGACGTTGCAAGGTATTAGGCCCAAACACAAATATGACGCCTCAGAGTCGTCGCAAGGTTATCGGCCCAAACACAAATATGACGCCTCAGAGTCGTCGCAAGGTTATCGGCCCAAACACGAATAGGACGCCTTACAGTCGTCGTAAGTCTACCGGACGAAACTGAAATTGAAAAATTTCCGAAACTTGGTGAGGCATATACATACATCGTTTGTAAGAAGTTTCAATAAAATTACCCATTAAAACGTATTAAAAAATGATTAGTGATGAATTACAAAGCAATGATAATTTTGCTACCAGTAGTACTGACAGTGATAGTGACATTGTACGTTTCGCACAAATATATAAATTTATAATTATATGTATAAATTTATATATTTGTAATAATATTTTTAACTTCCCGTAGGGTAAGTTATAGTAATCGCAAAAAAATCGA